TAAATTTTTCTCTTGTAAAAAATTGAAAATTTTTTAAGATATTTTTTAGAAATTTAAAATTTTTGTCCTCACAATAATTTTAAATATTTTATGTTATATACTGCTTAAGTTTAGATTTGTTGTACTTTACCCCTTTAACGTAAATTTCTTGGTTCCATCCCAATCATGAATTACATTTCTCAAAATAGAATATCTAAACTTCTCAAACCCAAAAACTGGACCATTAGATAAAGAAATATCTACTCTAATATGGAATGTGAATGTAGTTGAATTCTACATGGCAATCAAGTGTTTATGTGTATGAACACTGGTACATTTGTCCCCCACACTTCTGTAAATCTGCAAACGTTCACAGCTTTGAGCTGTTCCTCTGCACCAAGATAAACTTATGAAAATCACGAGTCGCCTGAACCATGATCACTTTCCTCATTTCAGTCTTTTGTTGTCATACTCATAAATCATAATTGCTACTAAAAAAAACACTCACTTTTTGGCTTTAGACAACGTGTATCAGCACCAAGCTTTGATACCAAATGGCATACATGCATATGAATCATCATTCCCAGCTGTCATCAAATACCATTACATTCCAACATTGTGTTTCGACTATAAATTCATTAGGTTCTGTACCCTTTAGCCTCAAGTACTACTGTTGCATGTCCTTGTCTTCACTTCTTGGAAGATATAATTAGCAGAGAATTTCGCCATATCATCTCGGTGGCTTCCATGAAGGCTTGTTACCATGCAGCTGCAGCAGCCCTTGTGTTGGCATTAGTGGTTTATGCACCGAGTGCTACTGCCTATGGTACCTTGGATGAAGAAAGCAGCATTGCCCCTTCGCCATCAATGGCTGCTGGTTTTGGCTTTCCAATGCCATCCTATTCTAATGTTGCTTTGGCTTCTCTATAATTGTATATGCTATTGGTGTTCTTGTGTACTGAGCTTTCTTTAATTAGTAGCAAGAGCTCGTGTTTGTACCATGTCAGCACCAATGTCTTAAGTGCAGCTACGTTACCTATGTTCATTTGAAGAGAACTATGTTTTATGTTTATGTTTGTCATTAGGATTTTCCCTATGATATATTTTTATGTCCACATTAATGTATCAATAAGAATGAAGAATTTGGTTATTTTCTTTGTCTAATTGATTAATCCCTCCTCAAATTGTAGCGTACTTGAAAATTTTTTTCCCCCAAGATACCACGAACCAATCATGTTGAGGTAATGTTGCATGTACTCCAGTATCATTTAAAGTGTATAGCTAATTAAGTCCTAGCTAGTATCAAGCTTTTTTTTTTTTTTTGTTGGTGGCCTACACGAAAATTGAGCTTAGGAATTGGCTCAATATAAACACACACACATATATATATGATGTATATTGCTTCACCGGACTTGTAGTAATACTTTTTTAAACAATAGGTTGCTTTGCTCAATTAATTATGCAATTGGCCATTTATATATATATATATATATATATATATATATATATATATATATATATATATATATATATATGTATATGATGTATATTGCTTCACGGGACTTGTAGTAATACTTTTTTAAACAATAGGTTGCTTTGCTCAATTAATTATGTAATTGGCCATTTTGGTAACCCTTTAAATTACAGTTTATTAACATACCATTTGTATCCAATTATTTGAAACTTAATGCTGACAATAACTATCCAAATTGATCGAAGTACTTGAACCAAAGCATGGTTGAATCTGAACCTTATCAATCAAGGCAAATGCAAGTTGAGCCAACCCTCTGCCGAGCTTTGCATTTCTCGTTTGTTTGAAATCATCATTTGGCATACTTTGATTCACCATGATCCCTTGCTTGCAAACACGTGAATATTTAAAGGTTTTTCAGGTAGAAATTCAAGTTTGACTTGTTTAAGTGCTTCTTTTTTTTTTTTGGAAAAAACATGCAAAACGTCCTTTACATTTTGCAAAATAACTTTTTTCGTCCCTCACTTTTAAAAATGTAATTTTACGTCTCTTATAATTTCACATTGGTCAAATATTATTCCCTATCTAAATTTCTGATTAGTTTTTTATCGGAATCCACCATGTGCCTTGCACGTGATCAATTTTTAAGGGCAAAATTGTCAAATTAAATTTTACATTATCCGATCCATAGCCCCTTACATTTCACAAAATGAATTTTTGCGTCCCTTGTTAACTATGTGTATGAATATTTTTTTTAAACCCATGAATATATCTATTTGATTTCACTTGAACAGTACGAATAACATATAATATATCTTTATTTGATTTCAACTAAACAGGTTAATTTTAGTTGTATGCTATTCAATAGATATATACATTGGTTTAAAACAAATAATTTCATTTTAAACCCATATATATATTTGATTTCACCATGTGAATCTGTTCAATATTTTTGACATTTTCTCTTTTGGTAATAATTCATTTGTTAAGTTGTAAAATAAGGTCATCTAATTAATGGGTTCTAAATCGAATTCTATAGTCATACTAACAAATTGCAGTTTAAATCTGAAGTTTTTACGTACCACTTTTAAGACCAACAGTTGAATTACTTGCCTTGTGATTGTCTTAAAATTTGAAAGTACCAATCACTTACATTTTTCATACTTTTCCTTTGTTTATTTTTTCTGTCCAAATTCAATTCGATATAAATACTCGACAATGTTTAAGATTAAATGTCTTATTTGTTTTCAATTTTCGAGTAAAAGGAAATGAACTGAGTGAAAAACTAACAAATTTTTTAAACTCTTGTATATATCTATTTGATTTCGTCTGAACAGGCTATTTGTAGTTGTATACATGTTATTCATATTGTTTAGGTGAAATCAAATAGATATATACATGGGTTCTAAAAAAATTATTCATATACACGATCAATGAAGGATAAAAATTCATTTTGTAAAATGTGAGAGATGAAAAAATTTATTTTGTGAAATGTGAAGGACGAAAAAATTCATTTGTAAAATGTGAGAGATTACGAATCGGATTATGTAAAATTTGATTTGACAATTTTGCCCTTAAAAATGATCACATGCAAGGCACATGGTAAATTTCGACAAAAAACTAGTCGAAAACCTAGGTAAGGATCAAATTTGACTGATATGAATTTGTAGAGAACGTAAAATTAGACTTCTAAAAGTGAGGGATGAAAAAAGTCATTTTGCAAAATATGAGGAAAGTTTTGAATGATTTTTCCTTTTTTTTAAATCAAACAATCAGCTTTTAGAATTATTTTGAGGTATATATGTTGCTTTTTGGGGTCCTGGGTAAGAATGTATTATTACATTTACTTTATTAAATGCGACTACATTTAAATTATTCAAAAAACAGGTAGATTATCCCAACATATCGGCAAGGCCACTGTCTAACTTCAAAAATCTTGATATTTAAAGAAGATCACACCATGATCTTTGCTAAGAGTGTGCTTATATGGAAGATTATTGCGAAAATCTTTTAGAATAATCACAACTAACATTTTTGTGATGTGAGCATAAATTGTGAGGCTCAATATCTCAACCCTTTGAAACATAAATTGTGATTTTTTTTACTAAACCCTACAAAAGAAAATGTGAAATGAGAAAGGTAATATCAATGTAAATGGAGTTACAGTCTGATATAATTATTTTTCAAACATTAAAAAACATAATAATAAGTTTAGAAGGAGGGAAAGTTTACCTTATTTTATTGTCAGGGTAGGATATACACATCTTTCAATGACTTACACAAAAACTAGGGATAATTTGACAAGCCTCCCCTGAGATTTTTAACAATTACAGAGAGCTCCCTTCATTTTTTAAAAATTACATATACCTTCCCTACTTTTACTATTTAATAACAATAAAGGTCTAACAAGAAATATTTTCTCATAAAAACCCTAAATTGCTCTTTTGTACAAAACTAAGAAAGAAAAATATAGTATACTCAATCATTTTCTTACGCACCCTGCACAAATCTACAACTCTAATTTCTAGCAACTATCCAAACATAAATTCTAAAACCAAATAACCATCAAAAGATCCCAAATTGCATAGACAATATCAATACTTGCCATACAAAATATAGAAAAAAAAAAAAACACAAACAACCTCCATTGACAACCAATTTTATACCCCAAAATTAAATATCAATACTCAAATACCTTTTCAATACAAGTTATTCTGACTTAGAACTACCATTACAATCTTCTTATATCCTTAAAAATATTAATATCTCAAAAGTAGAGAATAAATTCTACCTTCACAAAATTCAATGAAAGAAATTCTTATGTAATTATTGACATTTTATATAAGTTTTTCTTGTCAATAAACAAAATATGATAAATTCCACATCTTTAGTTCTTCTTCCTATTTCAATCATCAATTTCATTTTTTATTTCTCTATTACTACGAGTCTCTTAATTTCCTTCTAGTTTGACACATAATCTACTCCCTCTATTGATTTTGTAATTTCAATTTGCTAATATCCACAAAATCGAAGATGATAAAAAAAGTTTATATTAACTAGAAAAGAGAGGGAGGAAAATAGACAAGAGATGGAAAAATAGATTTTTTGTTGATCTTGTAAATTTATTATTTTAAATTTAAAATTATCTACCGAGTGAAGGATATTATAGATATTTTACTATAGATATTTTACTATGTTAAGAAAGATAAGTGTAATTTTTTAAACTTGAGAGGAGTTGGGTGAAATTGTCAGAAACCTCAATTCAAGGAAGGTTTCTAAAATTATCCCCAAAAATATAGATAAATTAATGTTACATACACTATTACAGTTAAATGCATGATATCTATGTAAAATTTGAAATTCAAATTTAAATTTAAATTTTATATAATGAATATGATATGAAATGAAAGTGTATATACACCGTGAATGTCTAGAAGATTAATCCAAAAAATTGTACTACATCGTAGTTGGGCTCAAATGATCACCCAGACTGCAGTGGGCTTGTCTACCGTCTTACACCAAACTCTAAAACCGCATCCATCCACAGATTGCCAATTTCCAAGCCTAATACCGCAGCGGATGCCGGAGTTTTCACTCAATGGTCAATGCTGCCTCCTGCTTATGTGTCCTTTATAACGCAGCCCTTCCGGTCTCCCTCCATCTCTCCTAGTCCACCACCACCACCTCCACGGCTCCACCTCCACCTCCACCTCCACCTCCACCACCGCCACCATCACCATGGCCTGTACAATCTCTCGCAGACTAGCTTTCTCCAAACAACTTCTCAGGACCCCTCTCTTCTCAACTTATTCCTGCTTGTCCCCTCCAAAAACTCACCACTTAAACTCCTACTCATCAGCCTTCCCCCAAAACCCCAGTCAGGCCATTTTCCCACAATTCCCAAATCAAAATTTGGCAAACCCTTGTCTCAAACCGTCTAATCCCACCTCATTGGAGTCACGATTTCCACTCCATTACAATCCAACCAGTCTTATCAAAACCCCAACAAGATTAACCCCTGCTTTTCAGATGCAAAATCAACCATTTTTTAGCAATATATTGATCAAATCTGAACTAACCCCACAAGAAAATCCCAGATTTTTTTCAACTTCCAATGCTTCATCATCATCATCATCAGATCAGGAAAAGGCTGGAAAGCCAGAAAGCCAAAGCGAATACCCGAGCCAGAATCCTGCTTTCAAGCACCAAGAAATTGACGGACCCACTGTCGAACGTGATGTTTCGGCACTGGCCAATGAGACTCGCGAAGTCCTTGAAACGATGATGAAGACTGTGTATAGTTTAAGCAAAGCGTTGGCTGGCCTAGGCCTGATTAATCTTGGTTTAGGAGCTTGGATTTCGTATGTTACTACGGCTTCCCCTGTTGTTGAAGTGTCAGTGCAGAGTATTTTGGCATTCGGGCTTCCATTTTCATTGGCATTTATGCTGAGGAGAGCTTTGAAGCCTATGTATTTCTTTAAGAAAATGGAGGAACAAGGTAGACTGCAGATTCTGACCCTTACTCTTCAGGTTGCTAAGCAATTGAACTTGCTTTTTATTCGGGTTCGGGGTGTTTCCTATCTGTGTATTGCTGGTGCATCCGTCGGGTTGGTTTATGTTGCGCTTGCTAGATGAAATGTGTATGAAAAAATTCAGAAATCTCGAATGTATTACAAATGACGGGTTTTTTTCAATATGGATCGCCAAATTTTGTAACTTTGAATGCTTTCAGTTGTAGAAATGATGACTAAATTTATTCATATGGCCAGTTCGACTGCAAGTTTGTCAGGTGAACTTGTTGCTAAAATTTGTTGTTGCTGTGATAGGAAGGGGGAAACTTCTGGGTATGGGCTTTTAGTACGAGAAAAGTTCTCCATATCCTAGGTTGTCATATGTGAGACAGGCCTTAGATTCCATCCCTCAAATCCCAGGGCTAAATCCTTGATATTGTTGGTAGAATTCAAATTTGAGAGTTATGCGATCATCTTAAGATAGAATTCCTTGACAGTGTTGATAGTTGTTGTGTACTTACCATTGGTATTAGTGGTTCACATTTACAAAGGATTCTCATTGTATTTTGTGTCTAATGATGCTTGCAGAGTTCTGTTCATACAAATTCCAACATCCTAACATCTTAGTTGAATTTTCTTCCTCGGTTTGGTCTATGAATTCAATTAAAACTCTGGTATTATTGCATGGTACTGGAGTTCCAGATAGCTAGGCATAAGCTGAGGCATATCGTTTTGGTTGAGGACTTGAGGTGCCTAATATGCCTTGATAAGAGATACCCGCAAAAAGTTTAACCTCTCTGTATGTGAATTGATTAGCTTGATTCTAAACTTTTTGTTGCTTTTTGAAATCAGCTTAACATGGTGCTAAAAATGTTAGAATTGCACATCCATTATGACTCTTGTGGAAATGTTCTTGCGGGTCTGGTCAGTAGATCATGGTATGATCATGCATTCTACACGCCCATAAGAGTTGTGCACGCTACTTTTCTTCTAATTGCAGATGGACCAAACATGATCTCTGGAATTCCTTGTCCTCTTTGATCTATAGAACATAAGCATTAGAGAAAACTCTATGCACTTTTAACTTCTTCAAGCTATGGAAGATAAACCTCAAACTTTCAAGACTGTCTTCTCGGGTTTAGATACTGCAGCTAGTTTGACTTTTAAGGTTCTGATAATGTGTGCATGCATCTTGGTTTGGAATGGCATGGGGTGATCAGACTGGGACTGAGTATGGCATCCGAAACTTTTCTTTGGCATGCAGACCGGAGAAAAAGATAGCCTTCGAGCCAAAAAAAAAAAAAGAGTGGCAACCTCAAAAGCCTTTGCAGTACCTAGCCAAAAAGACAATATCCATTATTTTTTTTTGTAAATTCTATGCTACAACTATTCTTACTCTACATTAAAGGGAGGGGGAACCTAAAGAGATCAAGGCGAATCTGATGAATCACCACCGGTGCAAACAGACTTACTTACAGGTTAAGGGATTTGATCTATTGACTTATATTCAAGTAGAACTTTAAAATTCTATTGATGACCAACTACTTGAAATATCCATTAGCCTTGTTCACAATTAGAGATGCTGTGGTGCATTGCTGCTTGTCCTTCCCAAAAACCCTTAAAAGAGTGGATCGGCAACCCCTTCTAACCCCTAAACGTCACTCCTCGTAGCTAGTCTACTCACTGATATATTTTATAACTTTGAGCTGGGGAGCATGGTATTGGTTCTCTATCCTCCTTAATACTTTCAAGATTCTCATAGGTTGAGGTTGATACGTTTGTCCGTTCTTGGCAAATCAAGCAGTTCCTCATCACTTATAACTTGGACAGCAGCATTGCTTTGTTGCCGCTCAAATGTTCTTAGTCGAAATCAAATCAGTACCATTGGAAATAATCCCGAGTTAAATAAGAATTCTTAGGGTAGTTTTTGTTTTTCAATTTTCTAAGCAGGCAGTGTTGTTTTTTCTCTTTTCTTTTTCTTTTTTGGCAAGATTAATAAAGTCCACGAACAACACAAATCATGAAAACTTTTTGGCAAGGAAATCGCGTTTGTCTTGGGCCTTACTGTTATTTAGCACTTAGGAGACAAGTGGGGTTTAATACTATCTCCAAAGAGACGAATAGGCCCAGTTGGAGGTGGCTGACTGGCTGCACCATGATGGCAGAAATAAACCAAGGAATAGAAGGGGTTTTACGCTTTTAACAGAAAAGAAGATAAATTACTTCATAGCTCTGCAGTTTAACGGTGCTTTCATAAAAGGGAAAACTCCCGCGGGAGCCATTTATGATGGGACGAGGGGACTCCGGGAGAGGATTTTGGGGGACACTGGCCTGCCATATCAAATGAGGCAAAACTCATCTAACGACTAGTCAGTCTATCACCCATAACTCACCCACCGAGGTTAAAAACGAGTACTCTACCATACATCGAATGTAAACCCGTATTTCATTTGACTAAGTAATACCAACAAAACACATTTGACCCGTATTTCATTTGCCTGAATGGGATAATCGTATTAAAATACCAAATCAACAAAACACAAGGCCGAACATTTCCAAAAGCGTCCAAAATATTCAAGAAAAGTGGAAAGAAAATGTGCTAAACTTAAAAAGGCAGATATTATTTAACTAAGTAATAGTACTAAAGCATATTGCAGACTTTTCCTTGCCCTTTTTTTTATCATCTTCCCTTTTCTTTTTTCTTTTTTTTTTCTTTTGGCCCCCCACTTTTTCCTTGGTTAAAATCTTTTTTGGAAATGGTAAAGCAATGTTGAACCAATGAACAACCTAAGCATATTGCCTATTCACATAATATTGCAGCCACCAATGTATACCACTCAACCTTCTGAATCGCTCTACAAAACAACGAAAGAAGGAAATGCAAATAATTGAATCGCGTAACCTGTTGAAGCCTAATTCCCCAAAACCTTAGATGCATCCCACATTTAGCTGGCGATGTCCTCTCCGTGGCTTGAAATTCCCCAGGTTACCAAGGACCAACATTAATCCGACCAACTAAGCCGCACTCGAACTTTCATTCGTCTTAGGCTCAGGTCTAACATATGTGAGACTCCGAGAAATGGAAGATGGAGCAGTGTTACTAGATCCTGGATTGAGTATCTCCGTCTGAGTGGGCTGAGTTTCCCGCTTCCACTGGAAACTCCTTGGACCAGGTTTAGTTAGGAGGCGGGATCGGTATGCACCCCCAATGCCTCTTGAGAAAGGAGCCCTGCCAAATCTAGAAACAGCATACGGGGATCCACGGGCAATACGAGGCCAAGTTGGGATAGGAAAAGCTTCCTGCTGAGCAGAATTTTTTCGTACGACCTGCATACAAAATCAATAATTAAAAATGCGTCAACAAGAGTAAGACGTATTCCAGCTATACTAACTGCATTGTGACCAAGTCTTCACAAAGTCATAATCCAGGAGAGCTCAGTTTAAATTGTCATTTGACATCTGGAGATTTCATTCTTGTAAGTCAAAAGATATAAAGAAGAAAAGTTTCATGTAAAGTTATTTTCATCTTCCAGCACCATAGGAGATACAATTCAATCAATTTTATTCTCATTACCTTCCTACTCTCCTTCCATTCTTTCACACCAATGAGGCAGACATATAAGAGGAACAAACAATCTCGTGCTCCACTATTCACAGCTTGCAAAAAGCATTTTTCTTTTCTTTTTCTTTTTTAGTGGGGAATACCAAATTTTGGAGTGACATTTTACCTCAATACCAAAAGTGGAAATATTCCTTTTGCAGTATGAAACCGATTAATCCAGGAGTAAAGAGAAACCATTTAAGATCAAAAAATCCTACTCAGATGAACCACACACCCAAAATATCACTACATAGACAAGCCTTAAAAAAAAAAAATATGTGGCAACTTCAGAAAAAGTACTGACATTTTCAATTTAGAAACATACCCGAAGAATCCTTGACATAAATGACGTGCCGTCGAGAGATAAAGCATTTTCTGCAGCCTCCTTTCTCATGAACTCAATATAAGCTGACCTGCTTTGACAACATGTTTAGCTAAAGTGATTCGAATATGATGAATGTTTAACCTCAGAAAGAATACAGCACTTGAAATGAAACAACAGCTCACCCTTTTGGTTGCCCTGTTGCTGCATCAGTTAAGATGATGACTTTTAGTACTTCCCCAAATTTGTTAAAGTGTCGAGAAAGGCTATCCTTGGTGGCAGCAAAATGAACCTAATAGATAAAAGCTAAGTTAGCCAGAAAAAGATTGCTGGGTCAGCATATGATTAAAACAAGGATAGAGGTTTATACATTGTTAACAAATATCGTACGGGAGTCTGAATCTTCTGTTGGTCGACCAATGGGATATGACCCTGAGCAGACACCAGTAGTTTCCAAGGTAAGGCATTTACAAGGAAAGAACAGGACCAAATTGGAAAATTTTACTTAAGATAAATTAAAAACCACCAAAAGTAAAGGGGGAAAAAACAAATCTTTCAGGTTAGTTGATAATATAGTATCAAGAACCCAAGAAGACAAATAGAGCCAGTAAGATTTAAGCCAGAAACTGAAGCTCACCAAGAGCAGATGAATGTGTCTTTTGAGATTCTTTCGGAGCATCCACTTCTAGTTGTGCCTGATCAGAATATAAAATTTAGGCAATAATTAAAATAGTAAGGGCAGAAGTTGAAAACCAATAGTAGTAGATACAAAAAATTTCAAACGGATATCTTACATTTCCATTCGCAACTGCAACAGAATTATTGTTCTCCTTCGTCAGCCTCCCAGCAGGCACAGAAGTTAATGCTTCATTCACCTGTACAGACTTCTGTTTATCTACATTTAAAGTTCCCCTCAACCCCTGATGTTGAGGTGATTTCCAAGTATTCAAATTTATGGATGAACTCACTATCTTATGAGAAGTATCAGAAATCTTCCCAAACTGATCCTGATTCTTCGATGGTACAATGACTATTTCATCAGCATTGTTAGCCGCACTATGCGGGACCATTCTTGAGATCCCAATACCATTTCCAGTCTGAGGTTCATCCATGGTTGTATCATAATCTTCATTATCAGATGCAGGATCAATTACCATCCTTGTGTCCCTTTGCAAAAGAGACACATCATTCGGGTAAGGCCGACTATAATCATTTGTATGATCATATGTTGGCCTCCCTTCCTCCTTAATATAAGCTCCATCTTGTCCTTCCCCAGCAGGATCTTCTCCAAATTCTTCTGATTGATTCAAGGTTTCTGAAACATCCTTAGGACGACCAAGCCTATCAAACACGTTACCTGATGATCTAACTCTCCGAACATCTTTTGCCGCTTCTGCTATAGCTTTAATAGCTGTTGCCATGGCATTCGGTACTCTAGCAACTGATCGAATTTTCTGTGGATGTTCTTCTAGATTAGAGTCCTCTGCAGTAGTGGACACCACAGAACGAAGCCGCTTTAATGAAGGTTCAGCAGTTATAGTTGACGGCCTTGAAGTGGCAACTGCATCCCGTACTGCAAATTGCAGCAATCTTCGTGGTGCCGCAATTGGTGCTTGAGAAACTACCTCCCTCTGCAGAAAAAGTAAATTCAGA